CAAAATGAAACACAACATACATGTCTGGGACTCTCTTCCCTACCTACTGAGTTTTTACCCCTACTCCCAGAGTCTGTACGGACGTACGGGCGTACGCTGACATCATTATCAAATTTTCTGGCATCGATAGCTTTCAATTTTCTATCCCTTCCCATGATGGCTATGGGGCTCCGCTGCGCCCGCGCAAAGCGGAGCACCATGGGCAAGAGAGAATGAGCTAAGAGAGTGAATCCCTGTGCACCATGATAATTTTTTTAAGTCTATTTAAAGTTCGCGCGCGTGCTGCGAAGGTTATTTTAGTCTGTTGTTTCCGTGACCCGCGTGGTCTACTTTCACGTGAACGTGACATGTTTCGCCGCCAAACATTTAAAGTTTGACAGCCATCATAGTAATTAGCGCCATGAGCCGATAAAGGTTAATCGCCTCCCGTTGTTGACATGTTTTTGATCAGCGCGTTCCGCTCATAATTTAGGAATGAATTTCATTTACAAAGGGGTTGCAGTATTGGAGTCAAAATTTCACTTTGAGATGAAAGATTGATTTTCTAACGGCTGGTAGCCTCATTTAAAGTAACGAATATTGAATTCTGACACACTGTGAAAGCCAAAGGCAAAGGTTATCACGCGCGAAACACGAAACCTTTAATAAGTGGCTGGCTTCAATTGTTTGTGCAAATGTGCAAGATATTTTTTCTCTTTTTCCACGAATATTGTTCGTTCAGAAACAGTACATTTGCTTTTAACAATTATTCTTGAGAGTTTCAAACTGCATTACTTCTTCTTAACGTCTAATACTTGCGATGAATATTTCGCTGTGCGAACACAAATCAGGTCGGATGCTTCAAGCTGTTAAACAGTCTTTAACCTGGATGCCAGAGACATTTTATGCGCGGTTTCCGGTTTCGGTCAATTCTTTATAGTGAGCGGTGTGCCCACATTTGTCTAGCGCCCTCTCAAAATTCAAATGTTTGGCGGCCAAACATTTATGTTTGAACCCACTTAAAACCTATTTTCTCGTTATGTGTCCACGGTTGGATCTAAGCGACGGTATCACAGCTCGCGGGTGTGCGTGGATGTCGTCGGAAGAGACAGTTGTCGTTTTAATACAATAGGTTGTTGGTTGTTTATATACTTATGAAGCGAAGACCTCAATATGCAGTTTTCGTCGAGTCGGAACCGCTCTCTCCGGCAAATTCCCACAAGCCAGGACCGTTTTGCTCTTCGGCAGCTACTTTGGCCAGATTATTCCACGACAAACTTGGTATTATTTTCGTCGACGAAAGTAAAACCAAGTTTGCACGTCATATCGCTTCCTTTGCGTGATCGGCAGTGAAATGAATTACCCGCTAAGTTTAAAATTACATGACGCCACTCTAACCGACCAATAAGGTTGCGTCCTTGAAATAACCACGCAGTATGACACAGAACCAAGAATAGATTGAAGTAATTTTCATGGAAAGAGAGACATGTATGGGGGATTCGCTCTCTAACATCATTCTCTCTTGCCATGGGTAAGAAAATTTGGTTATCTACCCATCAGAGAAATTTTCGAAATCACGTGACCGTACGCCCGCCCGACCGACTGACCGAACGACCGTCCGTCCGTCCGCACCTCAGGCTGTATACCAATGTAAAATAACTCAATTAAATGCAACTCGAGGTTATTTTGGCGGGAAATCATATAGTCACCCGCGTCTCTCGTAAAACAGAGACAACTTAAGCCTGGTTTCCATATCATCGCTACGATCGCTGTGATTGCAGCGATCATAGCGATCATATGGAAACCACTTTCCAGCAATCGCAGCGACAACGATCGCCGAGTATATATTACACGATTTTATATTTTGTTTGAACAAACTACAAATATTATCGAGAGCTTCGCTTTTAGCCCTGGCTAAATCTATATATTATTCATTTAGATCTTAATATTTTCATTCTGAGTAGAGGATTTTTATGATAGAAGTGAATATTATGCCCTATATATATTACCCTCTGATAAATCGGATGACTATCTTGAAATCACCGAAATCATGCACCAACTTAAATTTAGCTAGCTCAGGAACACGACTTAACTTATATTTTCTGTGTAATTCACATTCCAATTTTAATACCTTGTTTATACTATAATTCCAAGAGAGGATAAAAGGGACAGAGAAGGCATCCTCCATACACACCCTATTCCATAGGTAATTCGTCTCGAGTTATTTTTAAGACCACAGATCCCAAGGGGGGATTAGACAACAGCCAATCACATAGCGCGAATGTGTTCCGCGTGGATGACCCACGCTCAGAGCCACGCGTCCTTCGCGAATTGAGGCAGAAAAAAATGGCGGAAGACGCGGAGAGCAATATTGCTTTTCGTTTTGTCGACGAAAACGACTACAGAGAGATTTCTGCTAAAGCTGTGTCAGCGAAACGGAAATTAAAAAAGAATCGCCCTTCCTCTCTTGTATAGAGCTAACAGTACAGCAGGGAAATCCTAAACACAGTGAATATTCTCT